TTTTGAGCGTTCCACACAAATTATCTATAAAATACTGATCCCTGTTCAGTTAAAGTGGCATAAATCTGAACAGAGCTCAAAATAATTTGTTCAACTCCAAACATTTGACTGCTGTGACTTTATTAGTTATAAGTTAGTACAACGGTTTGGGATTATAGTGTAATAAATGTCCTTACAGAAAATCTAACTGCTCATTTTAAATCAATACTTTACTTTTAATACTTAAGTACAAAAAACATCAGATACTTTAAGACTTTTACTCAAGTAATATTCCTAAAGGAGACTTTAACTTTTACCAAAGTAATTTTTTGGTAAGATACTTGTACTTTTACTCAAGTATCATTTTGTGGTACTTTACACAACACTGCTTTTAAATTAGCTGAAGCTAAAGACAACAAAAATAAAAAAATAAGCCATTTTTTATACGTATCTACGTAAACTTATCATTGCAAATAGTATGAAAATGCTGACTTCATTATGTTTCTTTCTCTTCCGCCGACCGACACAAGCTTAAGAACCTAACTCTTATGTTCAAGCTTTCAATGCTTTGATATATTTATAATACTGGAGTGCATGTGATCGATAATCGTTCAAGAAATTGCCCAAAAAACAAAACCTAGTTAAATTACTACATTTCCCATGATGCTTTTCGCTTCATCCTACGTTGAGAAGTAGCGCACTTGCGTAACATTCACGCGACGGGAATGCCTGTTTTCCAAAATATGCACATTTTTCTAGTCACCGAATTAAGTTCATTTAATATTTGAATTTGCTTAGAGGAATAATATTTTTTGAATGAGCAAAGGTTTGTTCGACTCATAGTGGTGATAACTATATCTTAAATAAAAAAGCACGAACGCTAACACCGTAAATACACAGTCAGTGTAGCCTAGCTTATATTTGATTCAATAATTATAAACTTTGCTACGTTGAAGACATGAAAAAGCGAGAGGGTAAGTCCACCGTTTTTAGGCTTTTATACTTATAACTATGATTTTTTTTGTTGTTGTTGCATGAGATATTAATTCTGCTTATTTCAAAATTAACTTAGCAAATTTACTTATTAGCTGTTTACCTTTGCCTATTTATCTATCCAGACCAGACAAGCTTGTTAATATATGAAAGTAAAAAGGTAAAATCAAAAATAATAACGTGCTGAAAAGCTGAAAAACAAAAATGTATTAAATTTAATGTAATAACTTTTCACATATGTAACAAACAGGTGTCCAAAAAGGCATTTTTTTTGCCTTACATTAATAAAATTAGTGCCATCATAATTTTCAGATTTATTTCATCCCATTAATGTAAATATATTGTAATACTGTAGCATGACATTTAAGGGTTTTGTGTCAGAATGTTGAGATATGTGAAATTATAATTCATTTTCATTATTTTTTTGTTTATTTTAAAACCAAATATTCCCATAACAAAACAGAAGTCAGCAAAAACAATCCTAATTTTGTTAGATTTTCTGTGTGTGTGTGTGTGTGTGTGTGTGTGTGTGTGTGTGTGTGTGNCGACCATGGAGATATAAACAGCTTTTTATAAGGTAAAAATAATAAAACAAGGTCTTTGTCTGCAATGATTAGACATGTTTTTTATTATTGTCATTAGTGATTATCTCAATTTAGGCTAAAAGAATTGACAAAAACCTACACTGTGCCTTTAATCTGTATTATTTAGTCGTACACGTAGTACTTTTCAGTGTTAATATGAGGACATGTGAAAACGCTGTTTCTATGCAGGAAATACCAGGTAGAGCTCAGTTATTGTTTGCTGGCGGTGCTCCGGAACGTGGCGTTTCCTAATTACGACCATAATGCTCATGTGGACACGCCTGATCAGAGGCTCAAGAGGAACAGGGTTTAGTCCTCTGGTAAATTTTGTTTTAATACATCTGAAAAACTGCTGGAATAAATGTTTTTAAACTGATAAAATGGTGGTGAATAACCTGACAGCTTGTTTTTGTTTTTATGGGAAGGATAAACTGCAATGATAACCTCTGATAAAACTGTGTGCTAGTTTCAGTTTTGTTTTTACAGACACGAGCTTTCAGTGTGGTGAGTTTAAACCATAAAAGCAACAGAGAGAGGAAGAGGAGGAGGGGTCAAAAGTTCACCTGCTGTACCTGCAGCACCTACCTTCGTCCTTCCATTTATACTGTAGTTGCCCAGTTTTCCGTTACAATGTCTGATTATGTCGTCCATGCGACCCATGAGGAACTGGATCTTCTCGCAGCCGGCCTCCTTCCCCTCGATCCACGTGATTTTGTCCCCTCGGATGTCCTTCGTGGAGTCGCTCTTCTGGCTGACCAGCTGTCCGTCCGTGAACCGGCCGGTCCGGTACAGGGCCTTGACGTTCTCCAGGACGCTCAGCCCGGACTCCGAGCCCAGGAAGCTGTCCACCACGCAGATGCCGTGCCGGTTCATGCACGGCACTATGCACTCCGTGGCGAGCCTCTGCGGGGACAGGGTGCTGCTTTGTCCGTTAGGCGTGGCGGGGCTGTTGTTGGGTCCCGCTTCCGCAGCCCGGTCCCCGGCCGCAGGTGCTTCCGTGTTGCCGCCGGTCTGCGGCGCGGGCTCGGGGCTTTTCGGTTCCCGGGCGTCCTCCCGCGCCGCCTGCTTGTCCTCCGGCGACGGTCCCGGTTTGTGTTTGGGAAGCAGAGCCGCCTTGTTGTCCGCCTCCTTACAGATTAGCTTGTGCTTCTTCCAGTCTTGTTTCTGGTGCTCCTTGCTGCAGTAGAAGGAGCTCCGGCATCTGCCGCACTTCAGAAGGTTCTCCATCTTCCCGCAAAGTTCACAGTACTGCCGGTCCCGGTCCAGGTCCAGGTCCAGGTCGTTCTGCTGCTTCTCCATGGTGCACTGCTCCTTTAATTCAGATTCTTTCCACGCGCCCCGCTACCGTCGGCGGGGAAACAGCCTCTCTCTCTGCCTCGCTACGACGAGCGAAACGGGGGAAGGAAAGTCAAAAACTCGCCATTTTACCATGTTCATCCCGTCTCTGAGTGTTCTTTCAGCGGGTTAACGCCACAGTGTGAGCCCGGGGACGAGGATTCGGAGATAGGTCGATGTCTTCGGGAGGCATTTCGAAAGCCTAGCTGGCGGTGTCAACCTCGTTTACTGCATGGCGCTGCGCAGCTTGTGTGTGAGCAGTTTGCTCGTAGCCCCGCCCACCGTGACGTCTAAACGCAGGCACCGCCTCCTCCGCGTTGCCTTTTTGGAACTGTCAAAAAAAAAAAAAAAAAAAGCTACGGACACGTGGAGCTGCTCAGTTATTAATTTATTCCCACTGGTTAAAAAAAATTCCTACTGGTTAAACAACTCAGCTTTTAAACAGAGTTGTAAAGTAACTAAGTATAAATACTTCTTTACTGTACTTAAGTAGAATTTTTGGGCATCTGTACTTTACTTGAGTAATTATTTTTCAGCCTACTTTTTACTTCTACGTCTTACATTTTCACACAATTACCTGTACTTTCTACTACTTACATTTTTTAAAAAAGGCAAGAAGTATAAAGTCGTTCCTTTTATTTCATTTTTGCTTGTTTTGATTGCAGTTTGTTATAGAAAAATACTTTCCATATAAATTGTGCCTTCTGGATAAGAGTGAATTTAATTTTGGTTGAATGAAAAGTATATATATATATATATATAT